TGAAAAGCACAGGGAAAAACAATGCTTCCTAATTCTTAGCTCATGAAGTCATAATTTGACTGGGAAGTTAATATTTTCTTTAAAAAAAGTGATTAAGGCATCAAATTTGATTGCTCCTTGCTTATGATGCTTTCAAATGTTGATTATGATGCTTTCAAATTACACTTTGGATGCTTTACTACACGGTCAAAGCATCAAAAGTGTTGAAATTGAAAGACAAATCTAAGTATGAACTATGAAATATCAAAGGTTTGCACCTTTCAGGTGAAAATATGCAAGCATTCGAAAATTTGAGTTTGTGGCAAAACTCAATTCATTTAAAGTACAAGAAAACAGTTTATTATTATGCATTGTGCAATGTGCTGTTGTGCATGGGAATTGGGGAGTGGTATAAAAAAAGAGAAATAATAAATGTGTAATAATGTATTGTTTCTTTTACGCAGAGACCCAGCCGACAGTACGGGTTTATCTGGTATCTTCTTTATCAGAACTTTGATTCTCTTCTACTCACTCTTATTCGGGCACACAGGTAAACCATTCATCTGGCCCACACCACTATACACCATTCATCCCATCCACTATACACCATTCATCCCATCCACTATACACCATTCATCCTACTCTTCTATGCTATTCATCCGGCCCACACCACTTTAACACCATTCATCCCACTCTTCTATGCCATTCATCCGGCCCACACCACTTTAACACCATTCATCCCACTCTTCTATGCCATTCATCTGGCCCACACCACTATACATCATTCATCCCATCCACTATACACCATTCATCCTCCCACACCAATATACAGCATTCATCCCATCCACTATACACCATTCATCCTACTCTTCTATGCTATTCATCCGGCCCACACCACTTTAACACCATTCATCCCACTCTTCTTTGCAATTCGTCCTATCCACTATACACCATTCATCCTATCCATTATACACCATTCATCCCATCCACTATACATGATTTATCTCATCCACTATACACCATTCATTCCACTCTTCTATACCATTCATCCGGCCCACACCACTATACATCATTCATCCCACACTACTGAACATCATTCATCCCACACCACTATACACCATTTATCCCACTCTCCTATGCCATTTATCCCACTCTTCTATACCATTCATCTCACTCTTTCTCTACCATTGATTTCACACCACTGTACAGGACTCATTCCATCCACTATACATCATTTATCCCACACCACTGAACATCATTTATCCCACACCACTGAACATCATTTATCCCACACCACTGAACATCATTTATCCCACACCACTGAACATCATTTATTCCACACCACCGAACATCATTTATCCCACACCACTGAACATCATTTATCCCACACCACTGAACATCATTTATCCCACACCACTGAACATCATTTATCCCACACCACTGAACATCATTTATCACTCACCAATGAACATCATTTATCACTCACCACTGAACATCATTTATCCCACACCACTGAACATCTTTTATCCCACACCACTGAACATCATTTATCACACACCACTGAACATCATTTATCCCACACCACTGAACACCATTTATCCCACTCCACTAAACACCATTTATCCCACTCTTCTATGCCATTCACATCCCACTCCACTACACACCATTCATCCCATTCTTTCATCTTACTCTTCTTCACTATTCATCCTACTCTTCTATACCATTCATCCCACTCTTTTTTCCTACTCTTCTTTATCATTCATCCTAGTCTGTGAACGTCCTGGAAAGGAAATGACGAATCAGAGCAAATCCCGTCAAATAATTATATTTAAAAGTTTAAAAAAAGGTTAATTACGAATTTATATTTAGATTTCCTGGACATGTTGTTAGGATAGTTCTTCTTCTTTACCAGGTTAAATAACAAAATGGGGCTTATGATCTGGATACATTGGAGTTGCAACATTTTAGCTTTCTTGTATCTTGATCTGCAAAAATATATATGATTGATGATCCATAGATCCGGACCCAGGTGTCAGCTTCACCGAGATATTATTAAAACCTTCCTTATGATTGAATGTGATTGGTAAATCAAGTTTTTGACATAAAATGTATCGAATAAAGCTTGAAATTTTAAGTTTTTGTTAAAAACTGATAGAAATTCTGAACACATTGGACGAAACTAAGATAATATTAATAAAACCAAACCCTTCTACATATTTTGCAGGGCATACAACCAAATAAGCTTCAACGTCTAGTCCAGGAATGGGTTTCTACTTCTTCAATCACATCTTCGGACGTGACGTATCCAGGTATTGTAAATCAAATTTAGTTATTAGGCTGCGCCCATCTCCTATTTTAACTTATAATTGTAACTCTATCTGTGAGCATTTTCTCTTTAAGCATCCATTACCTTTCTCAATGGGTCACGTGAGTTCCCTCAAAAATGTTGAGATTGATCTCTTCAGCCGTTTTTACGTTTGGAGACAAACAAACAGACAGATATATAGAGAAGATTAAAAATATAATCTCTACAATATTTAGAGTCTACTACATCAAGTCCAACCTCTCGTAAACCTAGATCTTCAGACCCAGATTCTCCTTCTCTTAGTCCGCAGTAAGTTTCAAAAATTCTAAATCAGCAAGTCCCAAGTAGGGGGTGTATATTTTATTCAATTTTTCGCTGAATTGGGAAAATAAATGTTTTTAGGGGAAAATAAAGACATTTCATATAAATTCTTCTGTAAACTTTTTAAAATAAGAATGAATTTTTTTATTGATTAAGCCAAATTTCTATTTTTCTAAAATTTTATCTGTAAAGGAGCTGTGTTCGTGTGAATGCTTCTGAACTAAGTGATAAAGTAAGAATTATGGTTTATTCCTTCTAAAAATTTTATTTTTTCTTTTTGAACCAACTTTCTAATCAAATTTTTTTTTAATTAAGGAAGAGATGGACCCACTTAAACCAACTTCATCAATGGTAACCATCCAATATATTTATAAAATGAAATTGAGTAAAGAGAGTTTGGAGGATAAAAACATGTACATACACAAAAAATTTGATGTTTAATGTAATCACAATGGGGTTGGGTTACTTGGGACATAAAATGTCGTCATCCAACTATGAGTTTGGTCCACTTTAGTATTTATTCACTTTGCACTAAGCTCGTAATGAAACAGATTTGACGCACCAAATTTTCATAAAAAAAAAACAATATATTTTAAGAGTAAGAAAAGTGAATACTCCTCTGGTGAAGTTGAGTCCTCTATATCTGCTCCATTAAAGGAAGGAAATGGAGGTGATGGAGAGGAGAACAACGAACCTCCATCCAAGAGGTGACGCACAACAAGTTTAGAAAATTAAGCTAAGTTATATATGAGAAATATTGAATAAAAAAGTAGAAATATTGTTATTTTATTTTGTTGCGCACTGCAGATTAGAGTTGTAACACATTAAATAAAAACTAAGTGTAAATGGCTGGTGAATATTCCAATTCTGTGAGTAACGAACCAAATTCTACTCCTTTATAAGAAGCACGTCTGATTAGAAGCTATTCATATTTTTCAAAGCAACGGAATAAATTTTATAAATATTAAATTAAATCTAAATTTTTTATTATCAATGTAAATGTTAATGACAAAATAGTATTATTTTAGAGGTTTTTCTGTTTTAAATCTTCTTAAGAAAATTATTCTCTATTTTTGTTCAATTATATTACTTTCTTGATATTCTGAAGCATAATGCATAGTTTTACCGCTACTTTAATTGTGTTCCCTGCCTATTAATTAATTAATTAATGAGAAGTTTCAGTTTTTGATCTCCTCTTTTTATTAATTAAATATTTAGTTTGTATCCTTAAAACTGTAGTTCAGCCAATTAAACCAATAGAGTGGCGTATTCAGAATTCCGAGCAGCCAATCAGAAGCCGGAAAATTTGAAATTTTACACGCTATTTAATGAGAGAACTCTCATGGGAGGGAATCTGTATAGAAATATCCAAAACGAGAGAAAAAGAGCGGATTAAGCAGGAAATTTAAAGTGTCTACAAATTACAATGGATACTGATTACTGCAACAGCTCTAAGAGATAGTTGAAATGGTTAATAGAAAGAATTGGATTTGTTTTACGCCAAACAAATTCGACACTAGTGCCGGGGGAGTGGATCAGCCAACTAAGCGAGCGGGGGAAGGCAGGCGGCCATGAGCCACCACTACTTCCTCTTCCGGGCCACATATAAGCTTTTTTCTCTTCCGGCAACCATGAGCCTCTTCCGTACCACAACATTTGGCTCTTCCGGGCAAAACTACTATTTTAAATGGTATATTTAGGACCTTTAAAGTGTTATTTTAAAAAATCAAGCCGCGTCACGCTAAAAAGCACAACTTGAAACATTTTTTAAATTCTACATAAGATTAATATATTAATAAATAAAAAAGATGTCGTTTGTTTTAGATCATAGTAGGTAAACTAAGTAGTTATTTTTATATTGTAGGAGCAGAGAAAAATTGTTCAGAGTAGTCTGAAGAATAAGAAAATATTATTAAAATCGCAATATTTACTGTCATTATACTTACGCGTTACAGATTTTATATAAAAAAAAGTTTTTAGCAGTTTTCTCTTAACACATTGCACATTTTCACACAAGGGTATCCTTCAAAACTAAAGTGTATTATATGGTACGTCATTTTTAATATTCATATTGCTCTAAAAAATAAGCCATTTTTTTTATGAACATCAGAATATAGATTTGCAAAGTAAAAATTTGCAGTTTACATTAAGAGGAATCATCCTTTTTTCATATTAACACTTTAATATAAAGATTTAAATATATATTTTTTTCGTGACGCAGCTGGATTTTTGAAAATCACACTTTAAAGGCCTAAATATATCATTTTAAAAAGTAGTTTTGCCCGGGTTCTCAACCAATCTTAAATCTGTCAAAATACAAAAGCGAAGACCAAGAGATATATTTCTCATTAAAGGAAGGAAATGGAGGTGATGGAGAGGAGAACAACGAACCTCCATCCAAGAGGTGACGCACAACAAGTTTAGAAAATTAAGCTAAGTTAATAAAGAATGAAAAATATTTAAATTCATAAATATTAAATTTTGTGTTTTAAAATTGCGAAGAGTAAATGGCGGCTTGAAAAGCTACAGAACACGTATATTCAGTTTATTTTGTATAAATATTTTTCTTTATTTTTAGAGTTTAGAAAATAATACAATTTTTTATTTAGACAATTTTCCCCCATAATTCAGAATTCTATTTCGTTAAACTGTATTTTGATAATTTAATAATAATCTTTGTTTAAGAGACTTTAATTTAAGATTGAAATTGTGGAAGCTGAATTCTAATCCAAGAAGAAGATTAAGAACGAAGAAGGAGAGAGATTTAAAATATAAAGGTCAATTTTTAACAGTTATGAATATTATACTTTTTTATTTCAGTACATATTATCTAGGAAGAAAATGTTTGTTATGATCTGGGAATAAAATGTTTGATTCTGGGAATAAAATGTTTGATTCTGGGAATAAAATGTTTGATTCTGGGAATAAAATGTTTGATTCTGGGAATAAAATGTTTGATTCTGGGAATGAAATGTTTAGATCTGGGTATAAGTTCTGATCATGGTTATATGGGAATAAAATGTTTAGATCTGGGAATAAGTTCTGATACTGGTGATGGGAATAAAATGTAGATATTGGAATATAATGTTTAGATCTGGGAATAAGTGCTGATCCTGGTGATGGGAATAAAATGTAGATATGGGAATAAAAGGTTTAGATCTTGGAATAAAGTTTTTAGATCCGGGAAAAAAATGTTTAGCTCTGGGAATAAAATGTTTAGATTTGGGTATAAAATGTTTAATCTAGGAATACAAAGTTTAAATCTGGGAATAAAATGTTTAGATCTGGGCATAAAGTGTTTAAATCTGGGAATAAAGTGGTTAGATTTGGGAATAAGTTGTGGTCTTAGAAAAGGGAATAAAATGTAGATATGGGAATAACACGTTTAGATCTGGAAATGCAATATTTAGTTCTGGGAATAAAAAGTAGATCTTGGAATAAAATGTTTAGATCTGGGAATAAGTTCTGGTCCTGGTGATGGGAATAGTAGTGAAGATGAGGATACGGATACATGGCTGGTCAAGAACTCGGAATTATCTGATCTAGGATATGTGTCCTATATGACGGAAAACGAGAAAAAGAAAAGGTTCATGAGATGTTTATTTTTGTTACTTTGGGCTGATCATTTTTCATTTTATTAATGTCCACGTAAAAAAAGAAAAGAATGTGAGTTTCTGTCCGAATAGGATTAGACAGCTGAATGAACCTCCACAAAATGACTTCTGTTTATAAATTTGTAATATTAGAGACTGTGTTGTGTTCTTAAATACCTGTTTACTCTCTTAATAAGATTGTTTACCAGAAAATGATTATTTTGTGTTATTTTTATAAATACTAGGCTTTTAGGTAGCCTCGCGCCTATCTTCTATTTCAATTGTTAACATTTTCTCTTTGTACACATTGTAAAACAGAAACAAACCAAAAATTACGTGGATTTTATAAAAAGAAATTCGCGGATATTTAAAATTTTCAAAAGTCAAATTTTGTTTGAGGCTATTTTTGCAAATTCGATCACCCATAAACCTTCCCTGGGTCACGAGGTTCAACCAAAAAAATCAGGCCCGATCGGTTCAGCCGTTTTGACGTTAATTGCATACAAACAAACAGACAGACAAGTAAAGTATATATAGATTGCGTATTTAGGAGAAACGTCAGTAATTTTGATTCTTTAACTGAGGATGAGAAACGAGCAAGGTGGAAGAAGCTCTCGGAAGCCCGGCTCAAGGGTACAAACAGAAAATCCAGGTTCGTAAATTGTTCACAATTTCAAACCAATAGTATACTATTTTTATTACTGTTTTATATATTTCTATCTGTGGTCGAATTCGATTAAAAAGTATTTATCCGACAACTTTTGAAATGATGTAACTATTTCAAATCTGTTCAAATGAGTTCCTCTCATTCTCTCTTTCCTTTCTAGAGTTTTTTTGTTGTCAATGTGACTTTTTTCTGTTAAGAGTAAGCAACTCCCATAAAAATTCAAAAAAGCTTGAGAATTATTCGCACGCGTATGATTTATATCGACCCACCCATATTATTTCTTATTATTATGCAATGTACGAGGCCTTTACTCTCCAGGAGAAATTATGAAAGATTTTTTGGGGGGTGATGGAGCTAACAATGTTACAATGATGGGCAGGGCAAAGGACCTGAAATGCTTACTTGATGCATGGTTATGTTTGGTAGCTCCAACTTAAAAGGTAATGTCAGGTAGCCTAGTACTTCCCTGGTAGGCTGTGGTAAGATACACCTCTGGACTCTGATCCTGCCACGCCTCCTGGTAGTATCTCTCCATTATGTGTTTTGGAGGCCGGGGGGGCAGGGCTTAAGTTACTTAACCCCTTGGGCGGTCTGGGTCTCCCATATTGGGGGGATTTTCAGATTTAAATCTTTATCTTTATCTTTATGTGAAATACTATGTTTTAGGACCTTATTCTATTACATAGCAACAGAAGCAGATGTTCTGGACATCCTTACCGACTTCGCAATCACATTTCTTCTTCAGGTAATAGTCATTTTAAACAACCAACATAGTTTAAAGGCTTAATATTAAATTTAATTTGAAACAGATCACCAGAACTATTTGATTTAATCGGCACTCCGAGTCGGGAAGTGAAAATTGGTTAAGATAAGATAAGATAAGATAAAGTTTATTGCTAAAATAAATGTATCTGTATACAGATAGAGTTTACAATCACAAAATTGATGATTATATTAACAGTACAAGTATAAAGCAATTAGGTGGAAAATAGCTCTTGGCTGTTTTGATTATTTTTTCCACCTAATTTTAGTAATAATAACAAAATATTTCAATTAAATAGATTTAAGGAGAACGATTAGAGATCAGGGTGCAAATTCATCATATGCAAAATAGTTTATACACTAATTCGAATAACTAGAGTTTAAAGTAATTTTCTGACATGTACACAACAAATATCAAAGCATATTAAAACATATCTAATTAGTTTTACATGAATAGCAATTCGGTTTATAACACATTGTCCTATAATTTTCAAAAAGAGAATTTAGTAGTCTATTTTTAAATATACTTAGAGAGTTGCTTCTTTTTAAGTCAAGAGGCAGGTTATTCCACATCTTAAGAAGAGAGCTTGATGGTAAATACTGTAATGAGCACATTTTGAGAATGTCAAGTTGAAAGTTAAGAGATCTTTCAAAGGTTCCAAGCTTTTTAAAAATATTTTCAAAAGATGCAGGAAGAAGTTTATGTGTATATTTATACATAAATATAGCTTGGTTAAAGTCTACCAGATAATTGAAAGCAAAAGGATTGGGTTGGATGTATTAGAACAGCTTTAGCACTTGTTGTGATGTTTTTATTTACAAATAAAGCCTTGTTGACCAATTTTTTTATTATTAAATCTATTTTAGTATTATACTTGATTCAATAAATGAATAAATTCTATTTTGTAGAAATTTTTGTTTTACCTTCTAACATACTGAAATTCTTGTTTTCTTAAATTAATATATTTTAGGGCTACCTTGTTCTCCAGGAAGATATCCTCAAGATTATCAGAACTTCAACTTCTCAAGATAAAGAAGCTTTTCTGTACAAGGTAATACATTCTCCGAACTTATAAAAAATTAGAATATTAGAATAAAAATAAACCTTTTTTAAGGAATTTTTTTCCTGGCTCATTTACTACTTTCTTCCCTTGGCTTCAGTTATGTCGATGCCATTAAATCAGTAAGTAATTTAAATAATATTACTAGTTATATATATTACAGGGTGCTGCTAAACTATGATATATTACACTAGTTATATATATATTACAGGGTGCCTCTAAACTATGATATATTACACTAGTTATATATATATTACAGGGTGCCTCTAAACTGTGATATATTACACTAGTTATATATATTACAGGGTGCCGCATAACCATGATATATTACACTAGTTATATATAGTACAGGGTGCTGCTAAACTAAGATATATTCCACTAGTTATATATATTACAGGGTGCCGCTAAACCATGATATATTCCACTAGTTATATATATATTACAGGGTGCCGCTAAACCATGATATATTCCACTAGTTCTATATGTTACAGGTTGCCGCTAAACTATGATATATTCCACTACCTTGTATCTGAGTGCTCAGCTGTAGCTATCCAAGTATCTCTTTCTAGATCTCCCTCTGTTGAGGATCTTAAGATAATCTCAGGTAACATTTGGATTTTACAGGGGGAGTAAAAAAAATGCTGCTCAATTCACAACGGTACTTTTGAAACCACTATCTGACTAATACAGTTAAAGATATCGTCGTTTTTCTAGCTTCAAAAGTGATTGAATTTGATTTTTCCTACCTTGCTTTTTTGTAGCAGAAATGGAATTGGACATCGGTGATCCTAAATGAAAATAATCAGTTCATAAGATTGTAAACACCAATTACATCAATTTATCTAATTCAATCTTGATCAGATAAAGCTTTTAAGGTTACCGTTTTATATCGGAAAACACATAAAAGGTCGCTTAAAATTACGACTACAGACCATACAGACCCTTTGACTACAAAAGGTGGAAAAAGCTAGGGAGTAGGGAGTAGGGAGTAGGGAGTAGGGAGTAGGGAGTAGGGAGTAGGGAGTAGGGAGTAGGGAGTAGGGAGTAGGAAGAAGGGAGTAGGGAGTAGGGAGTAGGGAGATGGGACGATTCCAAACTCTAAAAACTATGATTCCATTTTAAATGATAGATTTGGGTTTATGCCTTAACATGCTAACAGATTATTAATTTTTAACGCATGGTTAACCACCAGAAAGAGTTGAAATAATCTACGCTATAACTTTTTGTTTTTGAAGGGAAGTGTTTTTTTCTGAAGAATAAGGGCAGGGCAGGGCCATGTTCAGTTTTTATTTAGCCATGAACATTGATATAAATACTACTCGAGAAATGGCTTTCTACTTATGTCACAGAGGAAATAATATCTTCCATCAATCTCTAATTTTCCTTCCCAATATCTTAGAAACCTGATATCGTAGATCTATGATACGTCATTTAATAGTAATAGTTTGAACCATCAGGTTGCAATGTTAGGGTGATTAGAACTCTGAGTAAGTAACTGAAGCAAGTAATCAATTCTTTAGCGTGGGTGTTAAATGTTGTTATCATTCATTCATCCTATTTTTTCGTTTGTCGATTTAAATTTTTTTTTCATTTTTAAAATTTTCATTAAAAACATATTTAGAGGTTTTAGAATATATTTATTGAAATATGAGTTCAACAGGAAAACATGAGAAGTTGTTTAATTGTCGGTTTATATTATAATTAGCTTTTTGGTTGTATTTTTAATATACAAACAAAATTATTTTTACCCTTAACATGTGATTTGTTTTGATGTGCAACCCATATGGAACTAATATTCCATAGATAATAAATATAAGTTTATAACCGCACGACATCTCGTTTTTTCAGATCAGTTTGAATTCTCTACCAGAAAGAGTTTTGTATTAATTAATTCAAGTAATATTTAATTTGGATTACGGCAAGACCAGGAAAACTACATTCAACAGTTAAAAGTCCTTGAATTGGCACTACAGTGCTGCATACTCAGAAGGGTTGCGAATATTNACGCGCCTGTTTTTAGCACCATTAATTAAAGTTTTAAGCTGGATATGTATTGCAGGCTATGTAAGAGCTCAACGATGTTTTGTTGAAATATTATCAAAATACGAAGATAATTTTCAACTTGATCAGATTGAGAAATACAATTTAAAGTTGATTTCTTTACAGGTACTTAATCTCTTCTCTAACTCATTGACTTTGTTTATAACTTTCAATTTTCCATCGCACAACTTAAATATATAAAGTTTAGATTCAATATCTTGGAACCTAAACGTCTTAAATATATAAAATTCTGAGTTTAGGATCCAGTTTTTGGAACCTAATCGTCTTGAATATATATAATTCGAAGTTAAGATTCAATTTAATGGGACCTAAACGTCTTAAATTTCTATAATTCTAAGTTTAGATTCCAGTTCTTGGAACCTAAACGTCTTAAATATATATAATTCGAAGTTTAGATTCCTGGTTTTGGAACCTAGACGTCTTAAATATACATAATCCGAAGTTTAGATTCAATATCTTGGAACCTAAACGTCTTTAATATATATAATTCTAAGTTTAGATTCCATTTCTTGAAACCTAATCGTCTTTAATATATATAATTCGAAGTTAAGATTCAATTTCATGGAACCTAAACGTCTTAAATTTATATAATTCGAAGTTAAGATTCCAGTTCTTGAAACCTAAACGTCTTTAATATATATAATTCGAAGTTAAGATTCAATTTCATGGAACCTAAACGTCTTAAATTTATATAATTCGAAGTTTAGATTCCAGTTCTTGGAACCTAAACGTCTTAAATATATATAATTCTAAGCTTAGATTCCAGGTTTTGCAACCAAAATGTCTTAAATATATGTAATCAAAGGACTGTTTTTGTATTTTTATTTAAAAATGGGAATGCCAGATTTCTAGCAGTTACTTATACTTTTATCTAATCATTAATTTTGCAGATATCGTCGTTCTTCTGTCTGATTAGCGTTTATTTCAGACAATTTTCCCTTCTTATTTTACAGCAGAAGTTCTTAAATAGAAACCACCGATTGAAATTAACATGCTACTCAAATGGAGATTAAGATTACGTTTAAACTAAACAGTCTCTTTAAATGGAGATTAAGATTACGTTTACACTAAACAGTCTCTTCAAATTGAGATTAAGATTACGTTTAAACTAAACAGTCTCTTTAAATGGAGATTAAGATTACGTTTACACTATACAGTCTCTTTAAATGGAGATTAAGATTACGTTTACACTCAACAGTCCCTTTAAATGGAGATTAAGATTACGTTTACACTAAACAGTCTCTTTAAATGGAGATTAAGATTACGTTTACACTAAACAGTCTCTTCAAATTGGGATTAAGATTACGTTTAAACTAAACAGTTTTTTGAATGGAGATTAAGATTACGTTTACAATAAACAGTCTCTTTATATGGAGATTAAGATTATGTTTACACTAAACAGTCTCTTTAAATGTTAAGATTGTGAAAACTAAAAATGTTCGCCAACTCTACGTATTTTTGACTTGGCTGGCGTCGAAGAAGAATTTGAATTCTACTCAGGTAACATATTTGAATTATACTCAGGTAACATATTTGAATTATACTCGGGTAACATATTTGAATTCTACTCGGGTAACATATTTGAATTCTACTCAGGTAACATATTTGAATTCTACTCAGGTAACTGCTGGAAAATCACTTCATAATTAAAAATAAAATCTCATTTAACAATTAGAAAAGATTCTTTTTTGATAATACAATGATAATTTTTGACTGCAAAGATTTTAAAGGCAACTTTAATCTTATTTTTTATTTTTTTTTACGTGAGATATTTTATTGCTTTTAAAAAATGCTTGATATATTTTTTTATTTCTTTTAGTTTTTGTCTGATCTTGTGGTAGCCAACCACATTCATCTAGCAACAATCCAGTCCCTAAATGTGTTCAAAGCAGATTTCAACATGACGGATCACATCCTCCAGTAAGTTTAAATTCTTGGTACATCAAGAAGCCCACATAATTGTAAAATATACTTATAAAGAGGTATAACTCTCATTAAAGCCCCTCCTCTGATCACAACTCATAATAAAAAGTTTTTTCTCTTTTAAAAAATACATATTTTAATGATATTTTTGATGAATTCAATAATAGATCTATAACTATTTAAAGATAAATAGTAGCGGGAAAGTTAAGTTGGAAAAAATGCTCAGTATATAAAAGTGAAAAAATGCATTTGAATTCATATGATTAGATCAATTCTTATCTCAATTTAAAAAAAAAATATGCTTTAAAAAAAATTTGAAAGCAATGAAGATTTTAAATCTCTAGTCCTCATTATATTTGTAGGTTTTCTGCTCCGTCAATGATGACTCCGTATGGATTTCTGCTGGAGAAGTATCGAGAGAATACAAATACCGTTAACGACTGTATATTCACGATGATGCATCATGTGGCTGGAGACCTTTCTTGTCCCCAGGTAAGTGATGGTTTTGCCCGTGCTCCATCAGTCTTTGTGGTTGTTAACCGATATGGGGTCATTGCTTCTCAGTCTTTGCTTTTTAATCGGCATAGACGACCTTATTTCTCTAAAATTTTACCGGATGGATTATACAGGTATCCTATTATATCTACATTTTAAAGGGTACTCCACGAAACATATGACAAAGATCGTCAATGATCTTTAAATTCATTTTCGGCATTTCTTTTTCAAATAATTTTACAATTAAAATTGCTGAATAACTAATGATGTAATGCACCTAGCCTTGATATTTTTAAATTGAGTCTGCATTATTTGTGTTTTTTTTATTATTTTACCTAGGATATGAAGAACTCGTTCAGATTTAGACAACTTGGGTTTCCATATCCGGCTATTTTCATATTTTAACGAATTAAGTTTTTGCCAATAACTCAAATTGTCTAAACTTGGTGTGTTTCCAACCCGTTGTCAGAGACCTTATAAATTCTGCCAGCTCAAATAAAGTTTCAAATATAAAACTATTTTCCTTTAAATATGAATAAAAGCCGGCTACAGGAAACCCAGAAATAAATGTTGATATTTTGTTCTACATGTATGAGTTCGATGAAATATAGATTTTTTTCAGGCTTTGAATATAGAACCTATGAAGAAGACCATCAGACAAATAACCAAACAAGGAATCAAGCATTAAGAAATACAACTGTTATAAATATGAAGATTGAATCTTGTTGAATATTAAATATTTTATCCGATGATTATAATGTAAGGATTGAAGGAGTTGTTCTCTGTGATGATTGGCAGGATCTGATAGAATATCTTGCAAACTTTTACAGCAAAACAAACGGTAATAAAATCTTTTTATTTTCGGTAAAATTGTCAAATAATCGGCGGAAAAATGCTTCAATTTTGAAGTTTTAGTCAATAAACCAATTAAAAATGTGTATTTTTACAAGTTAAAGGAAGAACAAAGCCGATAACCATTCCACGTTTAACATCTTCAGATTCAAGATTTTTAGTGAAATATTTCAAATCCGAAATCATTTGAATAATTCTCATAGACTTTCTAGCTTCAAAATTGTTTTATTCTGAAATTAAACCCTCATTGTTTTTGTAAGCAGTAATCCGCAAGTAACTTTTATAGAGAAACGCCAATTGAAATTAATTAAATTTCAAAAAGAGCTACATAGATAGCTCATTCATTCTCATCCTTGATATTAATTTCCTTGTTGTTCAGCTACCAGAAATCTTGCTGTCAGAAGCGTTTACTCCGATCCAGGGTAGGTTTTTCTTCTGCTTGTATACATTAGGTTGACAACTTGACAGGGTTTACTGAGATCCAGGGTAGGTTTTTCTTCTGCTTGTATACATTAGGTTGACAACTTGACAGGGTTTACTCCGATCCAGGGTAGGTTTCTCTTCTTCTTGTATACATTAGGTTGACAACTTGACAGGGTTTACTGAGATCCAGGGTAGGTTTTTCTTCTTCTTGTATACATTAGGTTGACAACTTGACAGGGGTTACTCCGATCCAGGGTAGGTTTTTCTTCTGCTTGTATACATTAGGTTGACAACTTGACAGGGTTTACTCCGATCCAGGGTAGGTTTCTCGTCTACTTGCATTAATTAGGTTGACAACTTGACAGGGTTTACTGAGATCCAGGGTAGGTTTCTCGTCTACTTGCATTAATTAGGGGTTTACTCCGATCCAGGGTAGGTTTCTCGTCTACTTGCATTAATTAGGTTGACAACTTGACAGGGTTTACTCCGATCCAGGGTAGGTTTCTCGTCTATCTGCATTAATTAGGTTGACAACTTGACAGGGTTTACTCGGATCCAGGGAAGGTTTCTCGTCTACTTGCATTAATTAGGTAGACAACTTGACATTGTTTACTCCGATCAAGGGTAGGTTTCTAGGTTGACAACTTGACAGGGTTTACGCCAATCCAGGGAAGGGTTTTCTTCTACTTCCATTAGTTAGGATTCGATGTCTGATTTTATTTTATTTTGCGTAATTTTAGGTGATCATTTTAATTTATGATAATTTTCTATCGTCAATTTTGTATTTTAAGAGACTGTTACGTAAATTAAAGTGACCCTACATTCGAAGATGGCTGTGCCCGAATAACGACTTTGTCCTTGAAAGATCTTTGTCAGATCGAATGTGAAGAAGATATCCAGATGTTTTTGATTATTTAAACCGTTTAGTTTCATTTCTGGTACTTTTTTTTAGTTAGAAACAAGTAGTTATTCTCTACAGATAAAAGTTTCAACGGTATAGTTGTATATCGGACATTGCTATCTTGAAATTACGCTTACAGTTAATTAAGGAAGGTTAAAAAAGGATTATATTTCTAGGCCCAAAGTTGGTAGAAGTAGGACATCGGTTAAAAGTGAAATGGATTCACGTTCACATCACCCAGGGAATTCTCCTCATCATGGTACTGTTGTCAGCGAAGGTTTATTACATTACAAAATACAAAAAAATTTTCTTAAACGGTGATAACGCAGAAACTGACAAATATTTCAATACTGCAGTATCCGGTACTAAAACGCTAAAATATTTAAGAGTGGTCTTTGTATATACCAATGTATTATAAGATACTGAAATTGTTATTTATCCCCTTTCAATAACTGATACCGCATTGATATATATAACTATTTAATCAACTAAGGTCAGTTACTCAGTAATTTATCCCCTTTCAATAACTGATACCGCATTGATATATATAACTATTTAATCAACTAAGGTCAGTTACTCAGGCTGTGTCGACATAAGTTAAATATTGTATATCTTATATATTTCCCAATATGAGTGATTTATTAAACTTTTCATACCATTTTTTTAAAGGGTTTGATCACTATTTGAAAATACACAAAATACCTAAGTTCTTAAATTGAAAATCACAACTAATACTTTTCTCCCCGCACACACACGTTTCTGAGAGACAGAATGTCCGTTACTCTCAGTTAACTGTTTAGTGTTCAAACCAGAAACCCGCGGTTTTTTTGATTCTATAACTTGGACAAATTTTGTGCAAATCCGCGCAATTCCGCGTAAAGTGCAAGCCTAATTTCGTGACATTTGGCTTTCAGTGGAATCCCTTACTGCAAAGTATGAAAAGGTTTCCCTTTATAAATTAAAATAGAGCTTTGGATATAAATCAAAAAAATTTATTTTATCCTACTCAGATTTTATGTTTAGTAAAAGCAAGGTCCATGGAGGATTCTCTGTTTCCATCATGTAGGTAACTATCAACTATTCAAACTTAATACAATTTTAAAACATTTTATAAAAAGTTTTCAAAAAAGAAAGAGTATCTGATCGATGGATTTTGTATCAATTTGTGATTTGTTTCAGTTTAAAATTTTTGCTATTAGTTAATGACCTTCAGTGTTGCCAAAATGTATGGGTTTTACAGATTTTTAGTCAAATGATTTTTAAATCGGCCTCGGATTTTGTCAATAGTTAATATCTGTTTATTTTCTGGTTTAAATGGACTATTTCAATTCAAATGTTGTTAAATATAAAAAGGTCTTTCTGTGAATTTTTAAATGTCTTTTTTTGCAGATGTTTTTTACAATTGAGATTTTTGTTTATTTACAAATTGTATTGATTTTTTAAAATGTACGCACTGTCCGATTTTTCAAAAAAATCTACGGATATCTGTACAAAGTTCTTCCTAAAATTGGTGCCACCCTTAAAGTTTAATTGGATATTTTTTCCTTTTTTTATGAATTTCTATGGTAATTTTCGAAAAATAATCGATTTTAATAGTAATTGTATCCTAGTTGGCAAGTCTGCGAAACTGAAGCTATTAAACCGTCAGCTGATGAACCCATAGTTGTTAAACCTACAGCTATTGAAATTACAGCTGTTGAACCTGCAGCTGTTAAACCTATAACTATTGAACCTACAGCTTCAAAAGGCGTAGCTGTTAAACCTACAGCTGTTGAACGCGCAGCTCATGATTATGAACCTACAGTAGAGGAAAACTCAGTGGCGAAACGCAGTGCCGGTGAATGTGCAGCTAGTAAACCTCCAGCTGTCGAATCTGCAGATTGTAAACGTCCAGCTGTCGAATCTGCAGCTGTTGAGACTACAGCTGGTGAACCTAAGATAGAATATGAACCAGAGAAAGAAAACCAGGGAGAAACCCTAATCTATTAGTTTTGTTACCTTTTGCTAGTTGCTTTTATTCCTTTTACCTTAAATTCTTTAGGGTAAATATAGATTNGATTGGATTGGATTGGATTGGATTGGATTGGATTGGATTGGATTGGATTGGATTGGATTGGATTGGATTGGATTGGATTGGATTGGATTGGATTGGATTGGATTGGATTGGATTGGATTGGATTGGATTGGATTGGATTGGATTGGATTGGATTGGATTGGATTGGATTGGATTGGATTGGATTGGATTGGATTGGATTGGATTGGATTGGATTTATATATGTAAAATAGAGAAAGTATAAATGTTGAAGGAACTGCGAACGTTATTTCAAGTAATTCCATTATAGAGCTGTTTCAGAAAAGAATACTTTAGAAATCTATTATTTGTATCAAGAATGCACGAAATATTCATTATCTTCTAGCTAAACAATATGATATTCAATTGCGGTTTTTCTCTTAAAGTGATCTGCGCATTTCTGCTACAGAAACAATGGTAGAAACTGTCAGAATTAAAGCTTGATATGTTCCTAGGGTTTCCAACGAAAGTAAAGTGGATTTTACTTGCGCGCAATTGCAAGCCCTGTAAACTCGAAGTAATTCCGCGAAATTTCGCGCATTGGAGTTCCAATTGAAAACGCATTATTTATCATATATTATTATCAGACAGTTTCAGATGGGACATGTCTCTTGAAATTACAACGACAATCCCTCCAGAGGCGCAACTGGCACTTTTGCAATGGGAGGGGGGGAGGGCAAAATATTATTTGGTAATGGTCTGTGGGGGTGGGGACTTCCCTATAGAAAATTTCTTCAAAATAAAAGTGCTTTTTTAACCCTATTCCTGCTGGGGGGGGGGGGTCAATTTGACTTCCCCCTGTAGATTTTTTTACATAACTCAAAAAGTATTGGTCTGAGGCTGTTGAAATTTTCTGACTTTTCCTACATACATTCTAATCCCTAAATCTTTGCACCGAGTGGTGTAAACCTTTGATATCTCAACACAAGTAAAATACAGTTCGGAACTTTTTTACATTTTTTACATTATATAGCCTTCAGAATTCAGAAAGATAAAAATATATTTTTTTTAACTAACCATAGTATAGAATACAATTTCTTCAATATCTCTTTTGGTTTTATTATTCCTGACTCCTGTGATAATGATATTCGCCAACCTTTCTTTTCATTCTGCAGGGGGGCCGGGCCCCCCTAGTTGTGCCTCTGAATCCTTCTAAGCAAAGATAAATGAATCTTATTGATTGCTATAAAGCCTTAGTTCGCCGTCACTCCCTTTGGAGTGCTCAGGAACTTGATCCTGGTCTGGATCTGTTTATAGATTATCAAAAAATAAATAACTGAAAACAACAAGAGTAAATTTACAAGATTTTCTGTCGTTTTTCTAAGAATGAATCTAGATTGAATCCAGATTTGAATTAAGACGGGAAACGATCTTGAGCACTGCTTGTATGTAAACGTTTTACAATAAAACTTTAATATTGAAACAAAGTTGAACGTGAAATATTTGTTATTTAAACTCAAAACTTCACAAATTTTAATATTACAATTTAAAGTAAATATTTTTACAAACTTGATATTGTCGTGCATGAAGATTGCAGACTAATATCACGACTGGAAGAAAGAAAAGTAAAAATCCTTATCCTATTATTCCTGTGTTCTACAGATACCTTGAGAACTGAGTCCCTAGAAGCTAGTTTGAGCTGGCTCCAGTCCTCTCTCCTAGATGCATGGAGGGTTAAGGTACGAGTAATACTTGTGTCAAGATAGGGGGATATTGCCTCTTGGGGGTACTGACAAGAGGCGTACCCAGGGGGGGGGGGTGTCAGCCTCCATGGATTAGTGAAATATTTGGTTTCCAGGGGCTTTTTGGACCCAGTGGGAATGAGCCCCCTCCCCCCTGAACAGATTCCTGTGTACGCCACACGATTGAGTTTTTTTCTGGAAATTATTTTTACCAACTTCAGAACAATTCGAACATATGCAATTTTGGGAGTTTTTCCTTAATAATAATTGACTATAATCAAGGGGCGTTGGGAGAAGCATGAAAAAATGTTTAAAAAGATATTTGGAAATTTTGTTGTTAAAAAAATCTAAATCTTGATAATGATACTAAGAAAATTTGAATAATAGTTCCGATTGCTCTGAAGGTTGATGAAGTTCGATTTCTGGATAAGAAAAAGATGAGACGTATGTCAGGTTGGTTTTCTTCTTTTACGTCACATTCATCTTCATCATCTCCTCCATCTCCTTCATCTCCTGAACATTAAGTGAAAAGTTTTTGCAATACTAAGGAGAAGAGGATGCGGGAATGTATAAGGACAGGAACTATGGTTTTTTGTAATTATAATGAAAAATGTAACAAGGCTCCAAGGCTCTGTTAGCAGAAAAAAAATGTTCTCTTCTAATTTTTTATATAATGGAGAAGAAATCTAGTCCTGAATGTGTTGAATATAACCAGTTCCTATCCCCCTCTCCTCAATATTTAATTAGTATAAGTATTACCATCTTAAAGGTTGATTTTGGGGTCGATTATTATTATAAATCTAGTTACAGGAAGACTGATTTATGCAACAAGCATGATTAGAATAATGTTTTTTTACACATTTTCTGTATTATTTTCTATATTATATTCTGCATCTGCGCTGACTTCAATTCTATCATCTGTAAACACATCATTCAAATTAAACATGTAATTTAAGTTTTTCTGTTTTTGGTAATTCTTTTGCTCATCATGCATTATTTACTAATCTTTC